GCTTGTGCCCGTTGGCTGTCTTTTGTCTCTCTCTCTCTCTCTCTGGCAAATAAATAAATAAAATCTTTTAAAAAATAAAATTTTCTTTAAAAATTTTTTAAAAAATCCAACCCTTCTCCCCAATCCCCTGGGTAGATGAGGTCTTCTAGTACATGAGAGATGTTGTCTCTTACTTGTGCATTATTATTAATAATGTCCAGTCCCCCCTTCTGTGAGGTCAGGAATTATTCACCACTGTATACCCAGTAGGTGTTCAGTAGGTAGGGGGTCAAGGAATGGATAAATGAATGGAGGAATAATTATTTTTGTTGACAAGTAACAGCATCAGGGTCATACTTCAGGAAGGAAGTTGTTTGAGCCAATGCACGAGGCTCCTGAGGAAGCTACACTGTTGTGCTTTTAGACCATCCAGGACTTGCAAGTTCTTACTCCGCCTTGTCTGGGGTCCGGGTCTACCATTCCCAAGGCGCTGGGTATTTCATGACTTTGAAAAATGGCTGTAAGCATGCCTGACTTTCATATAGCAGCTGTTTGCCTCTCCTCCCAGGACAGAGATCTCCAAGGGGCCCCAGTGAGAAACTCTTAGCTCATGATAACTCGTGCCCCATTTGCTCGCATGCCCGGAGCCCCATCTTCCCCCCTGGGCCGGGTAGTGCCCAGAGGGATGGTCTTCGTTTGCATTTATCATCTTCATGCGCTTTGCACTCAGCTACACTGGTATTCAGAGAAAAATGCTGCCATGACAACTGCCACAACAGATGGTATTTGATCAGTCTCTAAGCTACGGAGGAGATACACAGCCGTTCTTCCGAGGTTTGCATATTTCACTTTATCATGAGACCCAGGACAGCCTTAACCATGGTCAAAATGTGAAGTTTTCCATTTGCCTCCCATCCCTCCCCCTTCTGTTTCCAGTTGTTTGGCATTTGTTTTGATTCTCCTTGCTCTCTGGCTGTCCTGGGTGGAGATGGGCTCTTGGATGTGGGAAGCAAAGACGGCAATGCACACAGTCCGTGGAAGTTGCCCTGCAAGTCTCAAGTACAGAGATTGTTGAGAAACTATCCAGCTTGGGGATGGAGATCCCGACTGAGACTGGGAGGGAGCCCTCACTGTAGCCTCTCTCTCCTGGATCATCATAGTCACAGACGGCATACGGTGAAGGCCACCCGTGGCCCTAAGCAAAGGGAAGACTGTGCATGTCCATCTTGGTCTTGGTTTGTCACCTTACTCTACCTGTGCCTGCAACCAAACCCCATTCTGCTCCCAGGGTCTCCAAGCCACGTTGTGGTCCCACTTCTGGGCTTTCCACCTCCACCCCACCGAAAACTCCAGAAGCTTCTTTCCAGAGCTCTTGGACCCATTTCTATGGCAGTGATGACCACAGAAGCCTTCTCCCCCAGTGCAAAGTGCGGCTCCCACCATCCCCACCCCCAACACTGGAATGTCAGGCTTTGCACAGATTTTTGTCAGCTAATTTTGGAAAGTAGTTTATATTGGCTGCTATGTGTTAATGAACCACTTTGGTCGTATTTACATACTTTGCTGCTTAAGAGCCTTTCCCATCACTCTGCATTCCCAACTCTAATCAGATCCGCCTCTCACCCTGTGTGTCTGGGGAGCACATGCACCCCAGGGCTCATCAGCGCTAGGCACGGGGACACCCTTGTGCTTGCTGAGGGCCCCTGGCCAGGCCCTCACTGGGTGTGGTGGCGGTGTGTAGTTTCAACGGTGCACGAGGATAGATTGCTTGTTTACTGTATGGTACTTGGAAGAAAACCTTAAGGTGAATTTCAGTCACAAGAGAGGCTGGATCAAAGAAACATTCTCCCCTTCTGATCTCCTTCCAAGTGAAGCTAGGAGGTTGGAATCCACATCTGACCCTATTCTGCTTCCCAGCCCCGCTCTCTTCCTGGGGTGCAGATGAAAAGAGCGTGGGTCTCAGCAGCCTTGTCAGGAGTGATTTTTAACCTTAATGGAACGTTATTAAAGAGTGGATTTGAGACTTGAGGAATGTTTTTTGAACTCCTTCTTTGAGCAGAGAAATCATCATAGTAGAGGGAAAAAATTCAAGGCACTTGATGGGCTTATGAATCGTCTTTTAAATGATGACCCAAGTTCTAATTTTTAGTTTTAACATATTCCAGGAGTGCGATGCAACCATCCAGACACTGTCCCCTGCTTTATCTCCTCTTTAGGAGAAAGCATTCTTGGTGCCCCTAGACCTTCTCCCTCCACCTAACCAAGGAAGATCCTGATGCTTCCTTTGCTTATATGCTCTGATTCTCCGTGACATGGCTGGGAATTGGGGTGTGTGTTGGATGGCTCTGTGGACCCTAGAGAGAAGGGCTATGTAAGTGTGGGCTCCTGGACAGAACGAGGGCTCCTGGACAGGACGAGGACTCTGCCCTAACATGGTCAGGAGAACCCAGCACAGTGTCTGGAACAGAGCAGACATCTACAATTATATTGATTGATGAAAAGAATCACAGGTTTCTCAGGCTTCGTACTATTGACCCTTTGGGTAGGATTTTTCATCCTTATGTGTGTTGTAGGATGTTCAGCAATATCTTTGGCCTCTACCCACTAGATGCTAGTGGCACCCCCCCACACTGTGAGAACACAGAATGTTGCCAGATGTCCCTTGGGGGTGGCAACATTGTTACCCCTTCTCCCTGCACTCTCCCTGCCCTGTGGAGAAATGATCTTGAAACTCTTTGAAAGAATAATAGGGATTTTAAAAAGTAACAGGAGGAAAAAAAAATAGTCCAGGTAACCTATTTATAATTATTCATTCCTTTAGTAGAATTTAACATTAAAAGAAAGCCCAGTAGATGGCCAAATTGAAATGAACCAAGGGCTAGCCCTGCAGGAAGAAATTACCACGTACTTTAAAATATGATATGCATTGAATGCTCCATAAATGTGCCACGTAAATGTGCCTTATGTTCCTTGGAAGAAAATGTCTATAGAATTAGAATGTTGTAGTAGGGCAGTGATTTTCTTGAATACATCGGTGGGGGTCTTTTTTTGTTTGTTTTTAAATCAATGCTACTCTGCCACACTGTTGTTGAAAAAATGTAACCTACCCACATCAGCACACCTCTGTGACGCTTGCCAGGATAGATACCAAGTGTACTATTTTTGATTTTACATTAATAGATTCCCAGGCAGTCAGCTTTTTCTTTATCTCAATTCTCACGGGGACAATACTTGCCCAAACCTCACGTATCAGCCATGTGCAAGATACACTGAAGAAGCAGGATAGGATTATTCAAAGGAAAAAGGGATTGAAGAATTTTATAATTTTATCATGATTTAAATATTAGTCCCTCTGTGGGGGCAACAGATCCTTTTGTGTGATTTTGGTACATTACCATTGTGGGCTGTTGTGGAAATAAGGACTGATAGTTATTTTTCTCAAAATGTAACAGGGGTTAATAACATTTAGAGATCTAATTTTGATTACTTAAAATGTAAGCCGATTGCTTCAAAACACCTTCCACAGGGGTTCTCCCGCCATTCTTCCTTCTTTCCCCTCCCCTTGCCCTCTAGGATAGTGGCACCTGCTTGCCATCATCAGTCCTTCTGGCTTGGAAGGAAGGAAGGGTTAAAAGCAATCTTGCTTTCCCTCCCCTTTATATGAAATGATTTTCTGCAGTGGTGGCAGGCATAACCCATAACATCAGCATTTATTTGCAGGAAATTGCATTTTGACCCTTTTTCCAAAGATGATTAAAAAAAAGTCTCCCAGATGAGGATCTTTGAGGGTGAGCTGGAGGCTGGGAGAGAGATGGGAACCCAGGTGCCCCCGTAGCTCAATTTTGTGTTTGGAAGGTTTGAAGACTGGGAGCAGAGAAGGAAAATGCCAGACACAGGGAAGGAGGACATATATTTCAGGAAGACTGTCTTGGAGCCAGACTTTACACAAATTAGACCTCTTCTTGCACTGTAGACTCTGCATTCTGTGGCTATGAAGTCGCCTTCAGAAGATCGCTTGGGAAGGGGCAAGGAGAATGGTCACATGGACTCTGTGAAAGACAGTCATTTATTCAAGATAAACCCTATGGGTTAAACACCCTTTTGAATGTATAAGAATGCTGACAGAGCGTAGGAAGTCTGGTCAGGGGCAGGGGAGTTCTCGACTGTGAAATGCAAACTGTGTGAAATTCAAAGATCCTTGTGCCAAGTCAAAAGCAGTTTCTTTTATTTACGGTCACCATTGACACTAATCGAGCCTGAACATTTTCCTGTAGACCAAAAAATCATTAGCCTTGACAAATGAAGTCAAATCAGACCTTTGGGAATGACCTAATTGTTCTTTCCCGAGGGCTGGACGTTTGCTTGCCCTTGGCCATGGCATCAGCCCTGGCAAGCCTGGGAGGCCTTCCAGACTCTGGCAGGTGGGTTCCTTCTTGTCACAGAACACACAAAGGACAGAGGGGTTCACGGAGGTCACAGCCCTCCCTCGTCATCTGCAATGCCCGCCAGCCTGAGAATTTTGTGAGTAAACGCGGCCCAGAGCCCGCTGAAACTCCCATTCACTGTTTTCACATTTGACGGCGTGCCTCCTTGGTGCTGGAAATTTCTCCCAGCTGCTGGTGGACAGGGTGGGTCTACTGTCCCCTTCATCCCCACCTCCATTTTTCTGGCAGCTGCTCAAATTTTCAGGATAGCTCTAGTGACAGTGGTGCACATAGGCACTCTCATTCCACTCTGGTTATTTTTGGTAGCCATGAGCAAGCCAGGGCCTTGACTTCTGGAACTGTGTGGTTGGGATATTAGGTAACTTTTTCTTGTGCAAGTACAGACAGGGAATCCTGACCTGCACCCATCCATCCATTCACCCATCCATCCCTCTGCCGCCGGCGCGTCATTTTCCTCGTTGCGAACCTTAGTAAATGCACAGTGAATTCTCTCTCCAACATCGCCCTTTGTTCCTGATAAAAGATGGCTCTGAGAAGGCTGAACCTTGATTGAGCGTATGTCATTTTTTTTTCTAGATTGAAAACATAGATGCCTGCTTGAATTTCCTGGCGGCGAAGGGAATAAACATCCAGGGGCTGTCTGCAGAAGGTGAGTCAGAGCACTTGTCAGGAAGCTGCCTTTTCATTGTTAGAGATGCCCACCTGTTACTTACTGATGACTTTAATACAGTTAAGCCCAGGGCTGCTGGTATGCGCTTCTGGCTTTGTTTTCCTCCTGGTTTTGAGGCAGCTCAAGGCCTGTCTAGACTCAACTATGCCAACTTTTTGACACCTAAAGAATCGCTCCAGGAATGGAGAGCCCACCAGGCCGGCCGATGTCTGCTAGACACAGAGGAGGGGTTCCTGGAGATGCAGCCGCTTCTCTGGAGGAGGGCTTAATCCAACAACGCCGATTTGATTCACCCGGCTAGCAATTCAGTTAATTATCAAGCCGGGCCTTATCTGTGGGAGAGAGAACACTTAGCCACAGCTTATATTTAAATCGCATAGTTCCCAGGGAAAAATGCAGAGTCCTTATCTCTTGCTTTTCTTAGTTCAAAAAAAAAAGAAAGAAAAGAAAACATGTGATGTATTAATGAGAGGCTGCGTTTTGACATCCTGATTAGTTTTTAATTAACTCCAATTGGGTGGCTAATTAGCACATTAGCGTGTGCTGGTGGTTTGCTATTCAATTAAGTATTGGTCTGGAGATGGCTGGTCCGAGTTCTCAGCCGCCTTGGGCAACGTCTCCCCCTGGAATCTTCCGCGCGCTCTCCGGTTTGTGAATCCAGGCAGCTGGCAGCCCAGACGCGGCCACAGGCCTCAGCAGCCTCCCAGCCTCATTAGGCTGCACCTGCCTCCAGTTTTCCCAGAACAGGTAAAGCAGTTTGGGCCTCACGTGACCCCACCTTTCCCTAGCAAGGCTGCTTCTTGAAAAGATGCCTATTAGCATTGATTCTGGTGGTCAGGGTGGGGAGGAGGGGAGGCAGTGAGGAAGGAAGGAGCCCAGTGAACAGGTAAGTTTGCAAGTGTGGCCTACTTGGGGCCTGTTCCTTGCCTCTGCCCTGCTACACAGTGAGAGCTTGATTTTCCTGGCTGTGTGAACGGTACTGGGGGCTGGCAGCTACTCCTGATGCCTCGTGGGTGTGTCGTGCTGTGTCTGAATGTGACCTCTCCGATGCTGGGCCTGCCCCAGGTCCGGAGTGGACACACTGCTTGCAGAGGTCTCCATGGCAGCTGTCGGCTGGTCAGCCCTAACCCCGGCTCCAAGAGGGGGGATCCTTGGGGGATTCCTTCACCCTGGGGGATGGGCCCTCCTCTGGGGGGATGAGACCTGGGCTCCATGACCCATGGAACGCAGCTTGCTAGGGTGTGGTGGGGCTTGGTGTGGAGTTTCCATGGATAGGTGGGGAGATGCAAATTCTCGTTCCGAGGAACATCATTTCCTTCTGGTAGAGCATTGTTGTGTTGGTGGGTGGGTGGCACGCACAGGCTCCTTGTGCTTTCTGGAAGGGGTTGGACCCCAGGCCTGTGCCCCCCCCTCCCCCCTCCCCAGCAGAGTATCAGCAGGGACTTGCCCAGAGTCCCGCTCAACAGAAAGGGCTCTAGGGGATGTGGACTCCATGTAAGTCACCTTCATCCATGTGGCCTGGAGGTGACACCTGGCCCCTCTGGCATCTGTCTGCATGTTGTCCTGCGCTCTGCCTCGTTTGTCCCCCTGAACCTACCCCGTCCTCTTGAGACCTTAAGGCACAGATTATTCAGTAAGTACTTGTTGAATAAATAAGTACCACCCGCACTTCTCAGGCTTGTCTATGAAGCAGCTCCAGCGCCTCCAGCTGAAGTGGGGACTCATAATAGCTGGAATGTACAGATGACAAAAGTTGACTTAAAGAGATGCTGAGTGACATCCTCCAAGCCCATAGCTAGTGAGCAGCACCCCGGGTCTCTGTGATTTCAGAACTCATGTTCCTGGTGTCTTTTGGGACAGCAGAGGGATAAAGTCGAGGCATGTCACAAACAGGTGAAGGAAACCAGAAAAGATCTAGAACTTTCTTGGCCAGAACACGGTCTCAGAAGATGAGGCCTATCAGGCAGACCCTCAGCTCCAGCCTTGCCCATGTTAGGGTGTGGCCCGTGGGGGTCTCTGAGCACAGAAGAGCCCACCGACCCAGTGTGTTGAGGTGTCTGTCATTGGAGCACAGCCAGGAAGAGGCTTCATGGTGTTTCAGTAACGGCCCCCCAACTGTGTGATGTGGAACCCCTCATCTTTCCTGCTGAGTCGAGACTCATTTTCTGACATCTTGGCCAGAATACAGAACTTGTCAGTCATGGTCCATTATTAGAACAGTTTTATCTTAATGCTTATGATGGTATTGTTTTGGTTTTTTAAAATTTTTAATTTAAATTCAGTTTAATTAACATATAGTATATTATTAGTTTCAAGGATAGAATTTAATGATTCATTAGTTGCATGCAATATCCAGTGCTCATTACATCACGTGCCCTCCTTAATGCCCACCACCCAGTGACCCCATCCCCCTATGCACCTCCCCTCCAGCAACCCTCAGTTTGTTTCCTAGAGTTACCAGTCTCTTATGGTTTGTCTCTTCTCTGTTATCTTATTTTTCCTTCCCTACCCCTATGTTCATTTGTTTTGTTTCTTAAATTCCACACATAAGTGAAATCATATGGTATTTGTCTTTCTCTGACTGACTTACTTAACATGATGCCTTCTAGTTCCATTAATTTTGCTGCAAATGGCTAGATTTCATTCTTGTTGATGGCCAAGTAATATTCCATTGCATATATGTACCACCTCTTCTTTATCCATTCATCTGTTGATGGACATCTAGGTTCTTTCCATAGTTTGGCTATCATGGACATTGCTGCTATAAACATTTGGGTGCACGTGCCCCTTCGGATCACTACGTTTGTATCTTTAGGGTAAATACCCAGTAGTGTGATTGCTGGGTCATAGGGTAGCTCTATTTTCAACTTTTTGAGGAACGTCCACGCTGTTTTCCAGAGTGGCTGCACCAGCTTGCATTCCCACCAACAGTGTAGAAGGGTTCCCCGTTCTCTGCATTTCTCATCAACATCTGTGATTTCCCAAGTTGTTAATTTTAGCCATTCTGACTGGTGTGAGGTGGTATCTCACTGTGGTTTTGATTTGTATTTCCCTGATGCTGAGCGATGTGGAGCATTTTTTCATGTATCTGTTGGCCATTTGGATGTCTTCTTTGGAGAAATGTCTGTTCATGTCTTCTGCCCATTTCTTGATTGGATTTTTTAGTTTTTGGGTATTGAGTTTGATCATTTCTTTATAGATTTTGGATACTAGCCCTTTATCTGATAAGACATTTGCAAATACCTCTTCCTATTCCATAGGTTGCCTTTTATTTTTGGTCTTGTTTGCTTTTAAACTGCAGTTTCACATTCTGCTCACTGCTCTTTTTCACCCACATAACCCAGAGAAGTGGCTTTGGAAGATTGGAGAGGGGGAGGGGGACCTGGGTGGCTCAGTCAGTTAAGTATCCAACTCTTTATTTCAGCTCAGGTAATGATCTCAAGGTTATGAGATTGAGCCCCACATTTCTCTGCCTCTCCCCTCCACCCCCCAGCTCGCGCTCTCTCTTTCTCTCTCTCTCTCACACACACACACACACACACACACATGCTCACTCACTTGTTCTCTCTCTCTCTCTCAAAAAAAAATTAATTAAAAAAAAAACAGAAGAAAAAGAAGAAGATTAAAGAGGGATGGGGGCCTAATAACTTCTCCCCCTCCCCTCTTTCCTTTGTCCGAGCCTCTAGAACTGGGGCAGATAAAGCAGGCAAAATTCTGCTGGGTGAAGTCACTGCCCTCTTCTTACAGAGCCATAATTGCTCCTGTCCCCAGGCCAGAGTCTCTGCATGCCCCACTGACCACGGACTTGCTCTCATGCTGTTCCCGGCACATTAGTAGTCTTTTGTGAGATTGTCTAGCAATTCTGGCTCACCCTCAGTGGGTAGCATTTATATCTGGTCCCCCCCCCAATTCAGGCCCCTTATGGTCCCCAAATAAAGTGGTCCTAGTGAGACTGTAGAGCTCAGTCTCCTCACCCCTGTATTACACACTACAAAACTGGCAGGAATGTGTGGGCTCCATTTTCCACTTAGAGTAGGTAGAACAGCCCTTCTGTCACCTGGAAGCCCCCACCATGTAGTTTCTCTCCAACTCTTTCCTCCCCGACTTAGGTGGCCAAAGAGGCAGATCTGCCAAGTCTGTGCTGAGTGGATGTCCAGCCAGGGCCAGGAATGCCAGTACCTGACTTGGAGTGATTCTCTTGGCCCCTCTACTCCTTTGTCTTCAAGGAGTGCAAGGACCTCACCTTCTTTTCCTGGGCGAGGGGAGGAAATATCCAGTATCTGTGATCATCAGACATTGCCATTTTCCCCCACTCTGCAACACTTTCTCATCTAGAAAGATCTAGATTTGTGGGGGGGGGGTGCTTTTTTTGTCCATTGAGGCATTTTATTTGCTTGTATGTATTCCTCCCTAGAAAAGGAATCCCAGGATTTTTCCTCCTGTGTGTTTTCGCCTTGCTGCTTCATGGTCCATGACAGCAGCGAGGTCGTCCATACAATGAAACGAGAATGGCAGATGGGAGCAGATTATTCTGCTGTTTTTCTAAATCTTTGAATTTTACATCAGATCTAGTGCTCATCACTCCACCTTTGTTTAACCTGCCCTGAGGTTCACAACAACGTTCCCAGGTCTGTGACCATCAGTGATTTCAAATTCGCTAATGTAAGCATGCTTCATCATCACAGCGAGAAACCGGAGAACCGTTTTTTGGAGCATGGCCTTGGAGAGAGCCCACTGTCGGAGCATGACCTGGCGTTTGCCTCTCTTTTCAGCATTGTTAATGCTGTTGAGGGCATCTGCCAGGATGTTCATGTGTAATTCATGGGCAATCCCATTACAGTGGCCCAGGAAGATGGCAGAAAGAATCCTCTAGATCTTACCTTGGCTTTTGAGGTTGGGGGATAATGATGGTGTTTGTTGGTGAGACAGATTCTGGACTAGTGCGGTCTTAGAGGAAGGTGACTGGCCCACACTTTTGT